GAGTGAAAAAAAAGAAAAGATGAGTAGGGGAAAAAATGTCACCTGTAAAACCATTCCTGTTTTTGGGGTCGTCTCATTGTTGCCCATCTAGTGCACCTGTTGTTAATTTCATGAACACCAAAGCAGCTGCAACTGATGAACAACCCCCTCTGCGACTTACCTGACCAGATCCATATCCCAGGAGTGTCATGGACGTGATGCGACTCGGATTACAAAGTCGTCCTTTAATTTTTTTTGAGCCGTGTATGTGTGTGTATATATATATTTCAGATCCATATATTCCTGTATACAGAGAGCTCAGTATGCTCATTGTACGAATGGGATGTACAGTGCAGATCACAATATGCGCAAAATAGTCGAGTATAAAGCTGGCCATACATGACACAATTTTCTTCGATTTACCTTCATTATGTAGTGCAGGGGCGTGGCCTGATTACATACAAATTAACTGTTTAGGCCCTGACCTCCTATTATAAAGTTTTGCTAAATCTAAAGGAAAATTGTATAATGTATGGCCGCCCTCACACAGCAGATTGCGATATCCTGTCCCCATGACAAAGGTTTTCTCCCGATCGTTCACACTGATTTTGTCAATTTTCCACGACTTTCCAGACAATACAGGGATACATCTGCTGTGTCTCACGGTCGCCTTCCCTTCATAAACGGACATTTGGTGAATACATTTGTTACATTGTAAACATAATCCTGATACAAATGTGCATCTTGTCATGGGGGGCGCCGTGACCCACCCCCTTCAGAAGGTGCCCGTTGTCTGGCTGGGTTCAGGGGTTGCGGTTGCAATGCTCTGCGGGCTCAAATGCAGATATTTCATAAATGCACGTTTTTTTATTAGTGTCGGTACATTTTTTTTTTTTTGCCTCTTTTTAAGTAGGTTCTGCCTGAAACGTCATTGTCTGTTGTGGGGATTTCTGTGATAAAATCTATCCAATAAAATCACATTTCTGCCTAAATTTAGGTCAAAATGTATTCTTGTCTTTGGTAAGGAAAAAATCCCAATCCGTGTATATTTATATAGCCTGTAGGAATGTTATAGATTCTACAAACTATGGGACAGTACAAATCCCCCCCAAATGTCAGGACGGTACAAATCCCCCCCAAATGTCAGGATGGTACAAATCCCCCCCAATGTCAGGACGGTACAAATCCCCCCAAATGTCAGGATGGTACAAATCCCCCCCAATGTCAGGACGGTACAAATCCCCCCAATGTCAGGATGGTACAAATCCCCCCAAATGTCAGGACAGTACAAATCCCCCCAAATGTCAGGACAGTACAAATCCCCCCAAATGTCAGGATGGTACAAATCCCCCCAAATGTCAGGACGGTACAAATCCCCCCAAATGTCAGGACGGTACAAATCCCCCCCAAATGTCAGGACGGTACAAATCCCCCCAAATGTCAGGACGGTACAAATCCCCCCAAATGTCAGGACGGTACAAATCCCCCCAAATGTCAGGACGGTACAAATCCCCCCCAAATGTCAGGAGAGTACAAATCCCCCCAAATGTCAGGACGGTACAAATCCCCCCAAATGTCAGGAGGGTACAAATCCCCCCCAATGTCAGGACAGTACAAATCCCCCCAAATGTCAGGATGGTACAAATCCCCCCAAATGTCAGACGGTACAAATCCCCCCAAATGTCAGGACGGTACAAATATCCCCCCCCAAATGTCAGGACGGTACAAATCCCCCCCAAATGTCAGGACGGTACAAAATCCCCCCCAAATGTCAGGACGGTACAAATCCCCCCAAATGTCAGGACGGTACAAATCCCCCCAAATGTCAGGAGAGTACAAATCCCCCCAAATTGTCAGGACGGTACAAATCCCCCCAAATGTCAGGAGGGTACAAATCCCCCCCAATGTCAGGACGGTACAAATCCCCCCCAATGTCAGGACGGTACAAATCCCCCCCAAATGTCAGGACGGTACAAATCCCCCCCAAATGTCAGGAGAGTACAAATCCCCCCCAATGTCAGGACCGTACAAATCCCCCCCAATGTCAGGACCGTACAAATCCCCCCCAAATGTCAGGACGGTACAAATCCCCCCCAAATGTCAGGAGAGTACAAATCCCCCCAATGTCAGGACGGTACAAATCCCCCCCAATGTCAGGACTGTACAAATCCCCCCCAATGTCAGGACTGTACAAATCCCCCCCAATGTCAGGACCGTACAAATCCCCCCCAATGTCAGGACTGTACAAATCCCCCCCAATGTCAGGACTGTACAAATCCCCCCCAATGTCAGGACCGTACAAATCCCCCCCCAAATGTCAGGACGGTACAAATCCCCCCCCAAATGTCAGGACGGTACAAATCCCCCCCCAATGTCAGGACGGTACAAATCCCCCAAATGTCAGGAGAGTACAAATCCCCCCAAATGTCAGGACGGTACAAATCCCCCCCAATGTCAGGACCGTACAAATCCCCCCCAAATGTCAGGACGGTACAAATCCCCCCCAAATGTCAGGAGGGTACAAATCCCCCCCCCCCCCATGTCAGGACGGTACAAATCCCCCCAATGTCAGGACGGTACAAATCCCCCCAAATGTCAGGAGAGTACAAATCCCCCAAATGTCAGGACGGTACAAATCCCCCCGAATGTCTACAAATCCCCCCGAATGTCAGGATGGTACAAAATCCCCCCAAATGACCCCTTTTTGGAAAGTAGACACTCTGAGGTAATTTTTTTTATATAATTGTTTTGTATTCGACTTTTTAGTTAATATGAACTCAGAAATACAATCAATTAACGTAAAATAACTTTTATTGAAAGTAACACAAACATTGGATGGAAAGTAAAATGAAATGTATAACAAATTAAGAATGTAAATAGATGCGTTTTTGCATTGAAGTCAATAAGAAGAGTTTATGCATTGGAGTCAATGAGACACATTTTTGCATAAGTCACTGGGAGGCGATTTTGCATTGAAGTCACTGGGAGGTGATTTTGCATTGAAGTCGCAATGGGAGCAATTTAGCATTGAAGTCAACGGGAGCCGATTTAGCATTGAAGTCAACAGGAGGCAAGTTAGCATTGAAGTCAGTGGGACGCGATTTTACATTGAAGTCAGTGGGACGCGATTTTACATTGAAGTCAGTGGGACGCGATTTTACATTGAAGTCAGTGGGATGTGATTTTACATTGAAGTCAGTGGGACGTGATTTTACATTGAAGTCAGTGGGACGCGATTTTACATTGAAGTCAGTGGGATGTGATTTTACATTGAAGTCAGTGGGATGTGATTTTACATTGAAGTCAGTGGGACGCGATTTTTACATTGAAGTCAGTGGGACGCGATTTTACATTGAAGTCAGTGGGACGCGATTTTACATTGAAGTCAGTGGGACGCGATTTTACATTGAAGTCAGTTATCATTATTGGCACTTTTTTTTTTCTTCTATGGGCAAAAACGCTGATAATCCTAGTTTGGGCCGATAATTTTCGGCGGCCAATCTATCGGTGCATCACTAGTTTTAACCGTGTCAGCTCTGTCCCTGCTGGAGAAATAGCCAATCACTTCTTGTCCCCTAGACACATTGTCGCTGGGACAGGAGTGATGTCACATCACCCCCACGGGGACAGACCAATACAAAACCTAGCAGAGGTTCTAATCGTTTCCCACTCAGTCCAAGCCGAATGTCAGGAGTGTGTTGTGTATGGTCTGTGACAGCGGACGTGATGGTCTGTGACAGCGGACGTGATGGTCTGTGACAGCGGGACGCGATGGTCTGTGACAGCGGACGCGATGGTGTGTGTATGGTCTGTGACAGCGGACGCGATGGTGTGTATGGTCTGTGACAGCGGACGCGATGGTGTGTATGGTCTGTGACAGCGGACGCGATGGTGTGTATGGTCTGTGACAGCGGATGCGATGGTCTGTATGGTCTTTGACAGCGGACGCGATGGTCTGTGACAGCGGACGCGATGGTGTGTGTATGGTCTGTGACAGCGGACGCGATGGTCTGTGACATTGACAGCGGACGCGATGGTGTGTATGGTCTGTGACAGCGGACGCGATGGTCTGTATGGTCTGTGACAGCGGACGCGATGGTCTGTGACAGCGGACGCGATGGTGTGTATGTATGGTCTGTGACAGCGGACGCGATGGTGTATGGTCTGTGACAGCGGACGCGATGGTGTGTATGGTCTGTGACAGCGGACGCGATGGTCTGTGACAGCGGACGCGATGGTGTGGAGTGTATGGTCTGTGACAGCGGACGCGATGGTCTGTGACAGCGGACGCGATGGTGTGTATGGTCTGTGACAGCGGACGCAATGGGGGTCTGTGACAGCGGACGCGATGGGTCTGTATGGTCTGTGACAGCGGACGCAATGGTCTGTGACAGCGGACGCGATGGTGTGTATGGTCTGTGACAGCGGACGCGATGGTCTGTGACGGGATCCTGTCAATGCTGTAATAACTAACCCGACTTTCTTGTCTTCCAGGTAAAAAACATGTTGTTGGCTCAGATAAACCGTGACCCAAGGAGAATGGCGGAGTTCACCGGAGAGGAGGCGGGAGGGCCAGCATGTCACCCTGTGTCTCACCGAGGCCGTGACAGGTACAGTGACCCCGCTGCATCGTCCTTCATCTGTGTGCCCCCAGAACTACATTCACTACTTACAGAGATGAGCAACTCCTGATACCTGCATTTCCCCGCCCCTTTCATTCATTGGATGTCAGTTCTTTCAATCATGGAGGCTCAGCATCACATGTGGGCGCTACCTATGCAAATACAGCCAGCCTAGGTACGCCCACTTCTTCACTGACCCCACCCATTATGACGTTCTGATATTTGCATAACTCCTCCCACTGCAGAGGGCTCCTGAGAGGAGGACTGACGCCACAGGGTGCTGGGATGTTTTCAGGTAGCTATGTACAGCACCCCTGGCCGGCCCCTCCCACCAGCCATGATCTGCCCGCACTGCATAGAGAAGCACAGAGACCCAACAATGACATCACTGAGCTTAATCACTTCAAGTCTGACACTTCCCCCCTTCCAGTGCTTACTACTCTGCATGTGATTGCTGATTGGCCAGTCAGCGATCACATGATCGGGACCTCGCACAGAGGTTCTGTCCGATGATTGGTGTTCCACTGTGTCCGGAGGGCAAGCAGGGGGCGGGGAGGCCCTTCACTGTCACCGTTCGACTGTTTATATACAACGGCCGGACAGGAAATGGTTAAAAATGTCAGCATGTCGATGGGGGGGAGGAGCCAGGAAAGACAGTAATACTGTAGGCATAATAAAGTGGATTGAACTTTTTTTTTTCTTAAAATTTTTGAGTAGATGGGGGAGGGGGGGTGGTGGTGTAACCTATGTTTTTTTTTTTGCCAGTTGTGTCCCATTGTGGAGATTTCCCTTTGCACTGCACGTCCTTTTCCATGACCATAACAGGGAGTGTGAGGAAATCTCCCCCCCCCCCCCCTCACCAAAGTGAGGGGAATTCAGAACTGGCGTCCCAATAGAGAGATCTTCCCTCTCTTCCTGCACTGGTGTGACAACCCAAAATGTAGGATAATGGTGACCAGGGTGAATCTGCTATCGGGGGCTCAGACAAGCAACGAAAACCCTCCCATTCCATCCGGGGAAAAAAAGTTGTTCTTCGCTACAGTATAACTTTTTTTTTTTTTTAGTTATTCTTTTTTTTTACGTAGTTCCACTTTAAGTCTTGGTTCACATCTGTGCGGTGGTGCCCCTGCGGATTCGCACGAATATCCCGTGCTGCCGCACCACCCGCACAGAGAATTACGGACCCGTGGGCAGGTGCCATTAGTTCTAAGGACACCCCCCTCCGCCGCACTGGGAAAACGCAACCGTACTGCGAACCGAGGATCCCGTGCGGGAGGCTGCGTTTGGACTCTCCAAAGTAGTGCAGGGACTTCTTTCCTTGCGTGACACGGGAGTCCATTCAAATGAATGCGCTCTCATGCCCGAGCAAAACGCGGCCCGCACGGCCCGCATGTGATGGGGGTAAACTTCTGGGGGTAAAAAATTGTCAGTCGGACACTTTAACCCCTTCCAGTCCGGGACACTTTCCCCCCTTCCAGTCCGGACACTTTCCCCCCCTTCCAGTCCGGACACTTTCCCCCCTTCCAGTCCGGACACTTTCCTCCAAAGCTTTCCCCCTTTTTTCTTCCAGTCCAGTCCGGGTGCGCACTTTCCCCCCCTTCCAGTCCGGACACTTTCCCCCCCTTCCAGTCCGGACACTTTCCCCCCCTTCCAGTCCGGACACTTTCCCCCCCCTTTCCAGTCCGGACACTTTCCCCCCCTTCCAGTCCTGGACAACTTTCCCCCCCTTCCAGTCCGGACACTTTCCCCCCCCTTCCAGTCCGGACACTTTCCCCCCTTCCAGTCCGGGGACACTTCCAGTCCGGACACTTTCCCCCCTTCCAGTCCGGACACTTTCCCCCCCCTTCCAGTCCGGACACTTTTCCCTCCCCCCAGTTTTCCCCCCCCTTCCAGTCCGGACACTTTTTTTTTTTATCCCCCCCTTCCAGTCCGGACACTTTCCCCCTTCCAGTCCGGAACAAACTTCCCCCCCTTCCATCCGGACACTTTCCCCCCCTTCCAGTCCGGACACTTTCCCCCCCCTTCCAGTCCCGGACACTTTCCCCCCCTTCCAGTCCGGACACTTTCCCCCCCTTCCAGTCCGGACACTTTCCCCCCCTTCCAAGTCCGACACTTTCCCCCCTTTCCAGTCCGGACACTTTCCCCCCCTTCCAGTCCGGACACTTTCCTCCCCTTCCAGTCCGGCACCACTTTTTCCCCCCTTCCATCCGGACACTTTCCCCCCCCTTCCCAGTCCGGACACTTTCCCCCCTTCCAGTCCGGACACTTTCCCCCCCCTTCCAGTCCGGACACTTTCCCCCTTCCAGTCCGGACACTTTCCCCCCCTTTCCAGTCCGGACACTTTCCCCCCCTCCAGTCCGGACACTTTCCCCCCCTTCCAGTCCGGACACTTTCCCCCCCTTCCAGTCCGGACACTTTCCCCCCCTTCCAGTCCGGACACTTTTCCCCCCTTCCAGTCCGGACACTTTCCCCCCTTCCAGTCCGACACTTTCCCCCCTTCCAGTCCGGACACTTTCCCCCACGTCCCAGTCCGGACACTTTCCCCCCTTCCAGTCCCGGGACACTTTCCCCCCCTTCCAGTCCGGACACTTTCCCCCCCTTCCAGTCCGGACACTTTCCCCCCTTCCAGTCCGGACACTTTCCCCCCCCTTCCAGTCCGGACACTTTCCCCCCCCTTCCCAGTCCGGACACTTTCCTCCCCCTTCCAGTCCGGACACTTTCACCCCCCTTCCAGTCCGGACACTTTCCCCCCCTTCCAGTCCCCAGGACACTTTCCCCCCCCCCCTTCCTGTCCAGGGCAATTTTTCATCATTTCAGCGCTATCACACTTTGAATGACAATTGCGCGAAAACGGTCATTGCAACACTGTACCCATATGAATTTTTTAGCATTTTTTTTTGAGACAGATAAAACTTTATTTTGGTGGTATTTATTCACCGCTGGGATTTTTATTTTTTTTACTATGTAATGAAAAAGTCCAAAAATTTTGAAAAAAAGTGTTTTTTTTTTTATTGGTAAAATTTTGCAAATAAATAATATTTCATCATAAATCTCGGCCAAAATGTATTCCGTTATTTTTTTAGTAAAAAAAAAAAATTCCAAATTAGTTTATAACCAAAAATTATAATTTTTAAACATTTTTTTTTACATTTTTATTTTTATTTTTTTTATAGTATTATTATTTATTTATTTATTTTTTTTTACATATTGTCACCCTAGCAGTACAGTGTCACCATGGGTGACACTGCACTACTTGTGGGGGTGATGAAAGATTTTTTTTTTACACTGATTGCTTTTACACCCATATAGGATGTAAAAGCAATCATTTCTCTTTCTCTCTGTCTGCATTCTTGCAGCCATTGAGGGAAATACTGTGTGAGCTGTGGATTGGTCACAGCTTGTCACATGGTACAAGGCTGTTTGTTGAATGGCCCTGTACCATGTGACCTCTGCTGATCATTCACAGATTTCACACGTAGTAAAGCAATGATGTCAGAAAGTGACATCATTGCTTACTATGCATGTGATCACTGATTGGCCAATCAGTGATCACATGATCGGGACCTCGTACAGAGGTCCCGTCCGACGATCGGTTTTTCACTGTGGGCACCAGATCGCGGTGCTTGCGCGCTCCCAGGGAGCGCGCACAGCTAGAATGGCGGGTGCCGTTTATGAACGGCAACCGCCCCTGGAGTGCCACCGCCCTGCCGTTTATAAACAGCAGGCGGACGGCAAGAGGTTAAAGAGCGCTTTGTGAGTGTTTATTATTGATGATGCCTTTTCCCATTTTGTAGATGGAGAAAGTATGGACACCATGGAAGGAGTCAGTCTACAGGCGGTCACGCTAGCGGATGGCTCAACAGCGTACATACAGCATAATGCGAAAGGTACAATTCCAGCACATAGGATGCTCATCCACACCTCACATTCTCAAAGCTCTGCACGCTCCGCATTACTGTTTTATCTTTATGTTTTTTTTGTGATGTGTTTTGATTGGGTTTTGTTTTTTGTGCCTTGAAGCTAACCCCCGGTTCACATCTGTGCGGGTGGTGCCGCTGCGGATCCGCCCGAAAATCCATGCAGCCGCACCACCCGCACAGAGAATTGCGGACCCCGCGGGCGGGCGCCATTGTTCTGATGGCACGCCGCCCGCCACTGGAAAACGTTGCCGTACTGGGAACCTCGGCTGCGGTTTTCAGAAGTGCAGGGACTTTTCCCTGCATGTCACGGGCATGGGAGTCCATTCAAATGAATGGGTTCTCGTGCCCGTGCAATACGCGGCCCGCACGGCCGGAATAGATGTGAAACCCGGGGGTAAAGGGACCGGCGGCTGTATCCATACATTGCTGGACATTTGGTGGTTCAAACCAGGAGTGATGCCTGCAGCTGCCGCACCATTTTATGCCCGGGTTCACACTGATGCGGTGCAGAGTGTGTGTACATGGTGTTGTTGTTTTTTTTTGTTGTGGGGTTTGGGGTGTGTTTTGTTATGTTTTGTTGTTTTGTTTTTTTGGTGGTTTGGTTTTTTTGGGTTTTTTGGGGGTTGTTTTTTGATTGTTTTGTGTTTTGTTTTTTAATGTTGTTTTTTTTGGTGGGGGTTTTTGTGTTTTTTGGTTGGTTTTTTTGGGTGTGGGGGGTGTGTTTGTGGTTGGTGGGTTTTTTGTGGGGTGGGTGTTTGTTGTTTGTTTTTTTGTTGGGTGGGGGGGGGGTTGTGTGGATTGGATTTTTGGGTGTTGTGTTTTGGTTTTGTGTGTTGGTTTTTTTAATTTTTTGGGTGTTTGTTTTGTTTGTGTTTAATATATTTTATTTTTTGTTTGGGTGGTTTGTGTGTTTATTTTTTGGGTTTTTTGTTTTGGGTTTTGTGTGTTATTATTGTGTGGTGTGTGTTTTTTATGTGTTTTTTGTGTGTTTGTATATATATATATGTGTGTTTGTTTGTGTTTATTTTTATGTGTGTTTGTGTTTTTGTGTGTATATATATATGTGTCTGTGTTGTGTTTTTTTGTGTGTTTTATTTTTTGTATGTTGTGTATGTGTGTTTTGTTTGTTGTTTGTGGGTTTGATGTGTTGTGGGTTTTGTGGTGTGTGTAAAAATACTAATTTTAAAATGGAAACAAAATATGACAGAAATGACCCGTGGCTGAAGTCAAAACAGTCAGGTTTTTGTTTAGTTGTCCCTTTTGGGGAGATTTCCCTTCACTTCCTGTCATGGGGACACAACAGCAAGCACGAGAATCCCCAATTCCCCACCCAATACATGTAATAAAGAGCATTTTCAGTGTCGTCATTGCACACTACTAAGAACATTCTAGTAATCACGGCTCTTCTGTGTCCCGTCTGTAGATGGTAAATTGATGGAAGGACAGGTCATCCAGCTGGAGGACGGCTCTGCGGCCTACGTCCATCACGTCCCCAAAAGTGGTAAGTGCCGTTGTGTGAGAACATGTTTATCATGCGGATGCGCCCATACCTGGTTTGTACTGGCGAGTACCGATACTTGGACTCAAGTACTCGCCGATACCTTTGCGGTGCGATTTGGGACCATACAAGATGCATGGACTCCAATTGTACTGCAAAGAATTACATTTGATCTGGAATGCAGTGCGATTCCTGTACCTGCCGTTTCCCGCACCACCCCTGTGTGAACCCCCTTTGAAGTTATTCTGAAAAGCCTGACTTCACACAGGAGCGGTGCAGGAAACTGCATGTGATCCGGACGAGAATCCACATTCCTGTTCAAATCGCATTTGGTTCTTCACAATTCATTTTGTATGGGCTCAAATTGCACCACGAAAGTATCAGTTTTAGGTATCGGGGTACAAGTACTCCTGCAAATGTGGCAAGTGGGAGCGGGTACCTGTCATTAACCACTTGACCTCCGGAAGATTGACCCTTCATGACCAGGCTACTTTTTGCAGTAATACTTTATGCAGAGCCATACAAAGCAGTGTTCCGGAGCTGACAGGGGGAGAGATCTGTATTGTTTACATACAGGTCTCTCCCCCATCGGTAATACTGGGAGATCACCGGGTGCCGGCGGGGAATCACCAGCTGGGACCCGGTGATTGACAACCGAGGCCGCGAATGGCGGTGCGGGTAGAGCACGTGCGTGCCCCCTATCCGGAACGTATATATATATATATATATATATGATTTTGCGCACCCGTGTCGGCCTGTAACAGTATTTCTACTATAGGGCCCCGCAGAAGTTGTTAACCCCTTGGCACTGGCACCTCCCGCCTCTTTAAGAGTTTCAGAAGCCAGCAGGCGGAGTTTAGGATCATGTGACCACCTTGACACGCCGTCACAGCAGTCACATGATCAGGAAAGGTCCCGATCGAAAGAGATGATCGGGACCTTTCTGTGAGTTCTGGACATGTGTGATGGGAGCGCGCAGGGCACTCGCTCTCAGCACATATATTTTTTATTTAATAGAATGCAAATGTGCGGTCGCTCGGCGTCTAGGCCCAGACGTTGGGAGGCCGCACATTTGCGTTTGGCCAGCACCAAGGGGTTAAGGACGCTGCGGCCTTGCTCCTTAACCTCTTTGTGTCGGCACCTCCCTGCCCTTTAAAAGGTTTCAGATGTCGGGAGGCAGGGGGGGTTTTAGGGTCATGTGACCTTGATTCACTGTCATCACACGATCTGAAAAGGTCCCAATCGCAAGGGGAGATCGGGACCTTTCCGTGAATCACCCAACATATGTGCTGGGAGCGCGCAGGGTGCACGCTCCTAGCACATACAGTTGTGTTCAAAATAATAGCCGTCAGACATCACTAACCGGATCAATCACTGTTTTTGGTGGAAATGATATTTCTACATGGCAAATAATTTCCTAGCAGGTGTAGTAGAGTCATAGAAATCCAACAGACCCAACAGTCATGACATGCATGCTGCTGATTCTGTGTCATTGAATCACTCATTGAAAGGGGCGTGTTCACAATAATAGCCGTGTGGAGTTCTATTAGTGACGTCATTCATTCTTTGATAAACAGGTGGCAATTATTGCCCTTATTTAAGGAAGGAAGGCAGCAAATGTTGGACATGCTGGTTACAGTGCATTTCTCTCTGAAATTCTGAGGAAAATGGGTCGTTCCAGACATTGTTCAGAAGAACAGCGTACCTTGATTAAAAAGTTTATTGGCGAGGGGAAAACATATAAAGAAGTGCAGAAAATGATCGGCTGCTCAGCTAAAATGATGGCAAATGCTTTAAAATGGCAACCAAAACCCTGAAAGACGTAGAAGAAAGAAAAAAAAACTACCATTGGAAAATAAAGAATAGCCAAAATGGAATGGATCCGCCAACAATCAGCTCCAGAAGATAGCCAACATGTGACGTTCCCTGTGAGGACTCAGCCAACAATCAGCTCCAGGAAGATGAAAGAAGGTGTGACGTTCCCTGTGAGGACTCAGCCAACAATCAGCTCCAGGAAGATGAAAGAAGGTGTGACGTTCCCTGTGAGGACTGTTACAATTAGAAGACGCCGATGTGAAGCCAAGCTATCTGCAAGAAGTCCCCGCAAAGTCCCACTGTTGGGAAAAAGACATGTGCTGAAGAGGTTACAATCTGCCAAAGAGCACATTGACCGGCCTCTAAAGAGAAATGGCGCAACATTTTGTGGACTGATGGAAGTAAGATTGTTCTTTTTGGGTCTAGTGGGCGGAGACAGTTTGTCAGACGACCCCCAAACACTGAATTCAAGCCACAGTACACTGTGAAGACCGTGAAGCATGGTGGTGCAAGCATCATGATATGGGGATGTTTCTCATACTACGGTGTTGGGCCTATTTATCGCATACCAGGGATCATGGATCAGTTTGAATCCATCAGAATACTTGAAGAGGTCATGCTGCCTTATGCTGAAGAGGAAATGCCCTTGAAATGGGTGTTCCAACAAGACAACGACCCCAAACACACCAGTAAACGTGCAACATCTTGGTTCCAGACCAACAAGATGGACGTTATGGAGTGGCCAGCCCAATCCCCGATCTTCATCCAATAGAAAACTTGTGGGGTGACATCAAAAATGCCGTTTCTGAGGCCAAACCAAGAAATAGAGAAGAACTGTGGAATGTGGTCCAATCATCCTGGGCTGGAATACCTGATCACAGGGGCCAGAAGTTGGGGGACTCCATGCAACACAGATGTACAGCAGTTCTCAGGAACAGTGCGACTACAACCAAATATTCATGAAGTCATTCAAAGGAAAGCAAAATCTTCAAACATTTCTCAGTTTATATAGTGAATGTTGGAGTTTGTAAAGAAGAATACAAACACTGCCATTTTTTTGAACCGTCTAATATTCACTTTTCTTCCATTTTTTTACAGGAACAACACAAATTTGATGTATTTTTCTTCATGTTGTGATTTGGAATAGAATGTGTCGTGTTCCCAATGCATTTGTGTGGATGGAAATAAAAGGATTAGAAGGATTTGCAGCTTTAGTCACTTTTTTCATCACACGGCTATTATTTTGTACACAACTGAATGTGTTTTTGAATGGTACACAAATATGCGGCCGCTCGGCGTCAAGGCCCAGCTGCCGCATTTTTGGTCACTGTCGACCTCAAGGGGTTAACAACTGGTAATTGACCGTTTTTTGGGGGGGTTTTTTCCCAGCTTTTTGTCATTTATATTTCAGCTGTCAGCAGGGGAATCCTGCTGACCGCTCACAGAACAGAACCTGAAGTTATGGGTTTCGATATCGGAGCATTTCCACGAGTACCGGTATCGGTGAAAACCCTCATTTACACATTGAGATTGACTTAAAGTTCGTTTAGTTTCTGATATTCTTCGACATTTTCCTTGTAGACAGTCTCCGCCTGGAGGATGGGCAGGCTGTGCAGCTGGAAGACGGGACCACCGCTTACATCCATCACTCTACCAAAGGTACGCGCATTTCATTATATACAGACTAGGCAGGATGGTTGGCGCAGTGTTACCTTGCAAAAGGAGCTGATTGGATCGTGCTTTGCTGGGGTTTTTTTGCCTTCCTCTGGATCAACTCTGGGTGTAGGATTAGAACTTTTTTTTTTAATGGTTGAACTGGTTGGACTTTTTTGTCTTTTTTTCAGCCAGACTAACTATGTAAGTGCTGGGGTGCTTGGTTCATATGCCCTCCCTGTGTTCATCCTAAAGGGCAAAGTAACCTCCCATCCGCAGAGGGAGCAATAGGTATCAAAGGCCAAGATAGTCATATCAATGAGCAGACTGATACAACATCCCGCGGCGTCAGATATGTGGCTGACATGTAGGAGGGGCGTTCAAGTCAAACCGGGACTTTCCATTTTCCAGGTATAAAAAGGGATGCTAGCGTGGCGGTACTACATGTAGTAGGAAGTGGCAAGTGTGTCCTGTTATTGATAGGCAAGGGGGAATGTCACCAACACACCGAGGATCACCAATACGGGTCCAAGAGCTTTAATGAACGATCACATAGTTACAGCAAGGCAGTATTTTTGGGGTCTCGCAGGACCCCTTCATCAGGCATGTGACCTGTGTGGCGGCCATCTTTCCTTCACCCATCTCTATGCCCAGACAGTATCGATGGTGGGAAGCTTTCAAGCCCTGATAAAGGGGGGAAGTTTTCAAGTCCTGATAAAGGGGGGAAGTTTTCAAGTCCTGATGAAGGGGGGGAAGCTTTCAAGTCCCGATGAAGGGGGAAACTTTCAAGTCCCGATGAAGGGGGGAAACTTTCAAGTCCCGATGAAGGGGGGAAGCTTTCAAGTCCTGATGAAGGGGGGGAAGCTTTCAAGTCCCGATGAAGGGGGGAGGTTTTCAAGTCCTGATGAAGGGGGGGAAGCTTTCAAGTCCTGATGAAGGGGGGAAGCTTTCAAGTCCCGATGAAGGGGGGAAGCTTTCAAGTCCTGATGAAGGGGGGAGGTTTTCAAGTCCTGATGGGGGGGAAGCTTTCAAGTCCTGATGAAGGGGGGAAGCTTTTCAAGTCCTGATGAAGGGGGGAAGCTTTTCAAGTCCTGATGAAGGGGGGAAGCTTTTCAAGTCCTGATGAAGAGGGGAAGCTTTTCAAGTCCTGATGAAGGGGGGAAGCTTTTCAAGTCCTGATGAAGGGGGGAAGCTTTTCAAGTCCCGATGAAGGGGGGAAGCTTTCAAGTCCCGATGAAGGGGGGAAGCTTTTCAAGTCCCGATGAAGGGGGGAAGCTTTTCAAGTCCTGATGAAGGGGGGAAGCTTTTCAAGTCCTGATGAAGGAGGGAAGCTTTCAAGTCCCGATGAAGGGGGAAGCTTTCAAGTCCCGATGAAGGGGGGAGGTTTTCAAGTCCTGATGAAGGGGGGGAAGCTTTCAAGTCCTGATGAAGGGGGGAAGCTTTCAAGTCCCGATGAAGGGGGGAAGCTTTCAAGTCCTGATGAAGGGGGGAGGTTTTCAAGTCCTGATGAAGGGGGGGAAGCTTTCAAGTCCTGATGAAGGGGGGAAGCTTTTCAAGTCCTGATGAAGGGGGGAAGCTTTTCAAGTCCTGATGAAGGGGGGAAGCTTTTCAAGTCCTGATGAAGAGGGGAAGCTTTTCAAGTCCTGATGAAGGGGGGAAGCTTTTCAAGTCCTGATGAAGGGGGGAAGCTTTTCAAGTCCTGATGAAGGGGGGGAAGCTTTTCAAGTCCCGATGAAGGGGGGAAGCTTTTCAAGTCCTGATGAAGGGGGGAAGCTTTTCAAGTCCTGATGAAGGAGGGAAGCTTTTCAAGTCCTGATGAAGGGGGGAAGCTTTCAAGCTCTGATGAAGGGGGGAAGCTTTCAAGCTCTGATGAAGGGGGGAAGCTTTCAAGCTCTGATGAAGGGGGGAAGCTTTCAAGCCCTGATGAAGGGGAGAAGCTTTCAAGTCCCGATGAAGGGGGGAAGTTTTCAAGTCCCGATGAAGGGGGGAGCTTTCAAGTCCCGATGAAGGGGGGATGCTTTCAAGTCCTGATGAAGGGGGGATGCTTTCAAGTCCTGATGAAGGGGGGATGCTTTCAAGTCCCGATGAAGGGGGGAAGCTTTTCAAGTCCCGATGAAGGGGGGATGCTTTCAAGTCCCGATGAAGGGGGGATGCTTTCAAGTCCTGATGAAGGGGGGATGCTTTCAAGTCCTGATGAAGGGGGGGAAGCTTTCAAGTCCTGATGAAGGGGGGAAGCTTTCAAGTCCTGATGAAGGGGGGATGCTTTCAAGCCCCATTGAAGGGGGGAAGCTTTCAAGTCCCCATGAAGGGGGGAAGCTTTCAAGTCCTGATGAAGGGGGGAAGCTTTTCAAGTCCTGATGAAGGGAGGGAGTTTTCAAGCCCCGATGAAGGGGGGGGAGTTTTCAAGCCCCGATGAAGGGGGGGAAGCTTTCAAGTCCTGATGAGGGGGGGGGGGGGGAAGCTTTCAAGCCCTGATGAAGGGGGGGAAGCTTTCAAGCCCTGATGAGGGGGGGGGGGGGGAAGCTTTCAAGCCCTGATGAAGCGGGAAAGCCTTTTCACCCTCATGTCCTCGTTGTCCGTGTTGATGTACCTGTGAAGTAAAAGGTCGCTGCTCACCCCGATATTTATAACGAAGCCCCTTTTTTTATAAATACGTCTGACAATTCTGTATACGTGACGTTGAAAGACGATTTACTGGAACTCTTCCTGTAGAGAAACATGGCGGTCTCTGTGTTCCGTTCTGGCAGAATCCTATGACCAGAGCTCCGTCCAGGCCGTGCAGCTCGAAGATGGCACGACGGCGTATATCCACCACACGGTGCAGGTGCCTCAGCCCGACACCATCCTGGCTATCCAGGCAGACGGCACGGTGGCCGGACTACACACGGGAGAAGCCACCATCGACCCGGACACGATCAGCGCTTTAGAACAATATGCCGCCAAGGTAAAGCTTGCTCTTCAGGAGGTCAGCTGATCATTGTGGATCGTTCTTCCTCAGGACAGTGTTACAGAATGTCGGATTTGTTTCAGGTGTCGATCGAAGGTGGAGAGAATGTGGCCGGCGGCACCTTAATCACCGAATCCGAGACGGAGAAGAAAATGCAGGTTTGGGATCATCATTTGTTGGGGAACTTCTGAGTGTGTTCAGTTTTGTAACATTTAATAGAGTGGTCACCAGGGGAGGAAGGAGGTCCTGATTCCTCTATATAGATCTTTATGTCACTAGAGGGGTCACCGGCAGGAGGAAGGAGGTCCAGATTCCTCTATATAGATCCTATCACTAGAGGGGTCACCGGCAGGAGGAAGGAGGTCCTGATTCCTCTATATAGATCCTATCACTAGAGGGGTCACCGGCAGGAGGAAGGAGGTCCTGATTCCTCTATATAGATCCTATCACTAGAGGGTCACCGGCAGGAGAAAGGAGGTCCTGATTCCTCTATATAGATCTTCATATCACTAGAGGGGTCACCGGCAGGAGGAAGGAGGTCCCGATTCCTCTATATAGATCCTATCACTAGAGGGCTCACTGGCAGGAGGTCCTGATTCCTCTATATAGATCACATATCACTAGAGGGGTCACCAGCAGGAGGAGGAGGTCCTGATTCCTCTATATAGATCACACTAGAGGGGTCACCAGCATGAGGAGGAGGTCCTGATTCCTCTATATAGACCTTTATATCAATAGAGGGGTCCCCGGCAGGAGGAAGGAGGTCCTGATTCCTCTATATAGATCCTATCAGTAGAGGGGTCACTGGCAGGAGGAAGGAGGTCCTGATTCCTCTATATAGACCTTTATATCACTAGAGGGGTCACCAGCAGGAGGAGGGAGGTCCTGATTCCTCTATATAGATCCTATCACTAGAGGGGTCACCAGGCAGGAGGAAGGAGGTCCTGATTCCTCTATATAGACCTTTATATAAGAGGGATCCCCGCATGAGGAGGAGGTCCTGATTCCTCTATATAGATCACTAGAGGGGTCACCGCAGGAGAAGGAGGTCCTGATTCCTCTATATAGACCTTTATATCAATAGAGGGGTCACCAGCAGGAGGAGGAGGTCCTGATTCCTCTATATAGATCCTACACTAGAGGGGTCCCCGGCAGGAGGAAGGAGGTCCTGATTCCTCTATATAGATCACTAGAGGGGTCCCCGGCAGGAGGAAGGAGGTCCTGATTCCTCTATATAGATCTATCACTAGAGGGGTCACCGGCAGGAGGAAGGAGGTCCTGATTCCTCTATATAATCTATCACTAGAGGGGTCACCGGCAGGAGGAAGGAGGTCCTGATTCCTCTATATAGATCTATCACTAGAGGGGTCACCCGCAGGAGGAAGGAGGTCCTGATTCCTCTATATAATCTATCACTAGAGGGGTCACCAGCAGGAGGAAGGAGGTCCTGATTCCTCTATATAGATCATAGAGGGGGTCACCACTAGAGGGGAGTCACCATATAGATCAGGAGGAGGAGGAGGTCCTGATTCCTCTATATAGATCACTAGAGGGGTCCCCGGCAGGAGGATGGATAGATCTGGGGGATAAAACATATCAGGAGAGACTTCGGGAACCCAGTTTGTACAGAAAGGATGGAGAAGGATGTGACGGACGTGTGCAGTTCATCTTTCTCGTTTCCATTTGGTGTGATGCTGAGACGTTGTCACAATAAAACGTTTACTTTAGATTTTCATTCTTGTTTTCTATCCGGCAGATTGTTCTACAAGGTCACGGGCCTCGAGTAACGGCAAAACCCCCGCAGACAAACGAGAAGGCCTTTCGCTGCGACTTCGATGGTTGTGGCAAACTGTACACAACCGCACACCATCTTAAGGTAACCCCAATCCTCCCGTTGGAGCCAAAGATTTTACTGGCTGAACTTTATGCTGTCATTTGCTCAATTTTAGGAGCAGTTAAAGTGTTCCTGAACCCCCAACAGTACAATCAGTCTGTAGATGCAGGAAAGCGTGATTGTTATACTCACTGTGGAACCTAAGGGGTTAATCCTCCGCATTGTATAAAAAGGCTGTTTGATCCTGTTTTCTCTGATCCTCCCCTTCTACTGTCTCCAATCCATCTGCTGATAGTACGGAGCCATGGAAGACACTGTGCGCATGCTCAGTTTAGTGTGTATTGCTAGAGTTTCTTTTTACTTTTGGGAGGGTGCATGTGATCAGCAAAGGGCTAATCAGCGCTGTCCAGACAGTGGTTCCGGGGTTGTGCAGCCTCACAGGACAGTCAAAAGAGAATGATAACTCCTCCTACAAGATTAACCAGCGCTCGGGCCGAACACTGATACGTACTGATAGTAACGACTGCTATATACTGCTGATGACAAAAGGTATTTAGCAGTTTATATTTACTATAATAATTGCATTTCCATGTTCTGTGTACTGTGGGAGACCGAATGCAGGTCCGGGAGAGCGGATATAGTGAATGCGGGGTCCGGGGAGAGCGGATATAGTGAATGCGGGGTGGGGGGGAGTGGATATAGTGAATGCGGGGTCCGGGGAGAGCGGATATAGTGAATGCGGGGTCCGGGGAGAGCGGATATAGTGAATGCGGGGTCCGGTGGAGAGCGGGTCCGGGGAGAGCGGATATAGTGAATGCGGGGTCCGGGGAGAGCGGATATAGTGAATGCGGGGTCCGGGGGGGGATAGTGAATGCGGGGGGATATATAGGGAATGCGGGGTCCGGGGGAGAGCGGATATAGTGAATGCAGGGTCCGGGGAGAGCGGATATAGTGAATGTGGGGTCCGGGGAGAGCGGATATAGTGAATGCGGGGTCCGGGGAGAGCGGATATAGTGAATGCGGGGTCCGGGGAGAGCGGATATAGTGAATGCGGGGCCCGGGGAGAGCCGGATATAGTGAATGCGGGGTCCGGGGAGAGCGATATAGTGAATGCGGGGTCCGGGGAGAGCGATATAGTGAATGCGGGGTCCGGGGAGAGCGGATATAGTGAATGCAAACATTGGTGAAAGAATGGGTCGCTCTCAGGAGCTCAGTGGCTCCAAGCGTGGTCCTGTGATAGGTGGCCACCTGGGCAAGTCCATCCGTGACATTTCCTGGCTACTAAATATTCCACTCTCAACTGTTAGTGGGATTATAACAAAGTGGAAGCCACTGGGAACAACAGCCACTCAGCCACCAAGTGGTAGGCCACGTCACATGACAGGGCGGGGTCAGCGCATGCTGAAGCGCACAGTGCGCAGAAGTCGCCAACTGTCTGCAGAGTCAATAGCTAAAGACCTCCAAACTTGGTGTGGCCTTCAGATGAGCCCAACAACAGTGCGTAGAGAGCTTCATGGAATGGGTTTCCATGGCCGAGCAGCTGCATCCAAGCCTTCCATCACCAAGTGCAATGCAAAGCGTCGGATGCCGTGGTGTAAAGCACGCCGCCACTGGACTCTAGAGCAGGGGAGACATGTTCTCTGGAGTGACCACGCTTCTCTGTCTGGCAATCCGATGGACGTGTCTGGGTTTGGCGGTTGCCAGGAGAATGGTACTTGCCTGACTGCATTGTGCCAAGTGTAATTTGGTGGAGGGGGGATTATGGTGTGGGGTTGTTTTCCAGGGGTTGGACTTGGCCCCCTAGTTTCAGTGAAGGGAACTCTTAAGGCGACATTTTGGACAATTTCATGCTCCCAACTTTGTGGGAGGAGTTTGGGGATGGCCCCTTCCTGTTCCAACATGACTGCCCACCAGTGCACAAAGCAAGGTCCATAAAGACATGGAGGAGCCAGTTTGGGGTGGAGGAACTTGACTGTCCTGCACAGAGTCCTGACCTCAACCCCATAGAACACCTTTGGGATGAATTAGAGCGGAGACTGCGAGCCAGACCCCCTCCCCCGACATCAGTGCCTGACCTGACAAATGTGCTTCTGGAAGAATGGTCCAACCTTCCCATAGACACCCTCCTAAACCTTGTGGGGGGCCTTCCCAGAAGAGTTGAAGCTGTTATAGCTGCAAAGGGCGGGGCCAACTCAATATTGAACCCTACGGACTAAGACTGGGGGGCCATTAAAGGTCATGTGTGTGGAAAGGGCGGGGCCAACTCAATATTGAACCCTACGGACTAAGGCTGGCCATACATTTATACAATTATCTGCAGATTTTTGGTTTAGATTTACCAAAAACCATATAATAGGAGGACAAACCTAAACAACACTTTCAGTTGTATCCAATTAGGCAGGCCCTTGCACTACATAGTTGAAGGTAAATCTAAAGGAAATTGGGCAGAAAATCTGCAGATAATTGTATAATGTATGGCCAGCCTAAGACTGGGGGGCCATTAAAGGTCATGTGCGTGGAAAGGGCGGGGCCAACTCAATATTGAACCCTATGGACTAAGACTGGGGGGCCATTAAAGGTCATGTGTGTGGGAAAGGCCGGCCCGACCAATACTGCGGGCAATATAGTGTATGTACCTACATCCTAAATGCTGCGAGGAGTGCAAAACCCATCTGAAAAAGACCTGAAACTGCATGTATTTTAAAAGTGCATTACCCCAGCTCTGCCGCAAGGGGGCAGTCATACACTCTCAAAGCATAACAATGAGCCATTACTGTCATACCAAACTCTCTGTGGTCTCTGAGGACTCATTCTAAAATCTGAAACTTGTTACTATTACTTCTCATACTCTATATTTAGGTTGTGGTATTAAAACTCCGGCCCATTGCACCGTTATAGGCTAAACAGCACATATTGACATTACCTAAGCCAGTCTGCATGCAAATACATCCCGCCTAGGAACGCCCACTTCTGCAGACATCTACCCATCAATGCATTTGATATTTGCATAACTCCTCCCAAGAGCCCACCCACTGGTTGCATCAGGACTGAGGGCTTGTGAGAAGAGTTTACTCTATTCCTGTACACCCTGTGATCCCGCACTCTCTCCCCCCCTGTACACCCTGTGACCCCGCACTCTCCTCCTGTACACCCAGTGACCCGCACTCTCCCCCCCCCCCCGTACACCCTGTGATCCCGCAGTCTCCTCCTGTACACCCTGTGATCCCGCACTCTCCTCCTGTACACCCAGTGATCCCGCACTCTCCTCCTGTACACCCTATGACCCCGCACTTTCCCCCTGTACACCCTGTGACCCCGCACTCTCCTCCTGTACACCCAGTGATCCCCCACACTCTCTCCTCCTGTACACTCTGATGACCCCGCACTCTCTCCTCCTGTACACCCTGTGATCCCCACCCGCACTCTCTCCCCCCGTACACCCTGTGACCCCGCACTCTCTCCTCCTGTACACCCTGTGATCCCACCACTCTCTCTCCTGTACACCCTGTGACCCCACACTCTCCCTCCTGTACATCCTGTGACCCCACATTCTCCTCCTGTACACCCTATGACCCCGCACTCTCCTCCTGTACACCCTGTGACCCCGCACTCTCTCCTCCTGTACACCCTGTGACCCCCGCACTCTCCCTCCTGTACACCTGTGACCCCGCACTCTCTCCTGTACACCCTGTGACCCCGCACTCTCTCTTCCTGTACACCCTGTGACCCCGCACTCTCTCCTGTACACCCTGTGACCCCGCACTCTCTCCTCCTGTACACCCTGTGACCCCGCACTCTCTCCTCCTGTACACCCTGTGACCCCGCACTCTCTCTCCTGTACACCCTGTGACCCCGCACTCTCCTCCTGTACACCCTGTGACCCCGCACTCTCCTCCTGTACACCCTATGACCCCGCACTCTCTCCTCCTGTACACCTGTGACCCCGCACTCTCTCCTCCTGTACACCCTGTGACCCCGCACTCTCTCCTCCTGTACACCCTGTGACCCCGCACTCTCCTCCTCCTGTACACCCTGTGACCCCGCACTCACTCTCTCCTCCTGTACACCCTGTGACCCCGCACTCTCTCCTCCTGTACACCCTGTGACCCCGCACTCTCTCCTCCTGTACACCCTGTGACCCCACACTCTCTCCTCCTGTACACCCTGTGACCCCGCACTCTCTCCTCCTGTACACCCTGTGACCCCACACTCTCTCCTCCTGTACACCCTGTGACCCCGCACTCTCTCCTCCTGTACACCCTGTGACCCCCCGCACTCTCTCCTCCTGTACACCCTGTGACCCCACACTCTCTCTCTCCTGTACACCCTGTGACCCCGCACTCCTCCTCCTGTACACCCTGTGACCCCACACCTCCCTCCTGTACACCCTGTGACCCCGCACTCTCTCCTCCTGTACACCCTGTGATCCCCACACTCTCTCCTCCTGTACACCCTATGATCCCACACACCCTCTCCTGTACACCCTATGACCCGCACTCTCTCCTCCTGTGACCCAAACACTCCATCTGTATTTCTGCTAGGCAGAGATATGACGTGTTATATGAATACACCATTATGGAGTCAATTGCAGCACTAAACTGACTGTTCTTACCATCAGGTCCATGAACGATCACACACGGGGGACCGGCCTTATCAGTGTGAACATGGCGGATGTGGAAAAGCGTTTGCAACAGGTATTGTGGACTTATTTACGCACTTTGTTTCCTTGTAGCAGCCGATGACTCTGTCCATTTCTTTCTCCCAACTGTCATTTTTTACAGCACTGGCCTTATTGTGATTGGTAACTTCATAATATACAGAGAGTTCCTGCTTCAGGCACTGTGTGCGGAATGATATGATTTTATCCACGCCCCCCCCCATAGAAAGCTGGAACTTATCCACGCCCCCCATAGAAAGCTGGAACTTATCCACACCCCCCATAGAAAGCTGGAGCTTATCCACGCCCCCCATAGAATGCTGGAGCTTATCCATGCCCCCCCATAGAATGCTGGAGCTTATCCACGCCCCCCCATAGAAAGCTGGAGCTTATCCACGCCCCCCATGGAATGCTGGAGCTTATCCACGCCCCCCATAGAATGCTGGAGCTTATCCACGCCCCCCATAGAATGCTGGAGCTTATCCACGCCCCCCATAGAATGCTGGAGCTTATCCACGCCCCCCCATAGAATGCTGGAGCTTATCCACGCCCCCCCCATAGAATGCTGGAGCTTATCCATGCCCCCCCATAGAAAGCTGGAGCTTATCCACGCCCCCATAGAATGCTGGAGCTTATCCACGCCCCCCCATAGAATGCTGGAGCTTATCCACGCCCCCCATAGAATGCTGGAGCTTATCCACGCCCCCCATAGAATGCTGGAGCTTATCCACGCCCTCCATAGAATGCTGGAGCTTATCCACGCCCCCCATAGAATGCTGGAGCTTATCCACGCCCCCCATAGAATGCTGGAGCTTATCCACGCCCCCCATAGAATGCTGGAGCTTATCCACGCCCCCCATAGAAATGCTGGAGCTTATCCACGCCCCCCATAGAATGCTGGAGCTTATCCACGCCCCCCCATGGAAAGCTGGAGCTTATCCACGCCCCCCATAGAAAGCTGGAGCTTATCCACGCCCCCCATAGAAAGCTGGAGCTTATCCACGCCCCCCATAGAAAGCTGGAGCTTATCCACGCCCCCCATAGAATGCTGGAGCTGTCCATGCCCCCCATAGAATGCTGGAGCTGTCCACGTCCCCCATAGAAAGCTGGAGCTTATCCACGCCCACCATAGAAAGCTGAACCACAAGGACCAGCCACGCCCTCATGATGCTGGCCTTTTCATAAATCTTTATTGTTCTTGACGCGCACACTAGAAGCCCCGCCTTGGACCTCCCCCTCTGATGCAAATTATTGTAGAGATAGCTTTAGTTCTAGAGATCTATAGTGTACCATGTCAGAGTGGGGAGGTCCCAGGCAAGGGCTTCTAGTGTGAACATCTGGAACAATAAAGTTTTATGAAAATGCTGACATCACCGGTGAGCGGTTATTCTTTGGGATTTTAGCTGTAGCGTGTCTGCACTTCACATCTCCTGTCTGCTGGAGGCGCCATTCAGCATCTGTCGTCCTGTCCTTCAGGTTACGGATTGAAAAGCCACGTACGCACTCACACGGGAGAGAAGCCTTACAGATGTACAGAGGAAAATTGCACCAAATCATTCAAAACATCAGGAGATCTCCAGAAACACATCCGAACGCACACAGGTAACCAACACGGGACCACTTGTAACATTTAAAGTGATAATAAAAGCTCCCATTCCTTTTTTTATTACCTAAAATCAAAAAAGAAGTAATACTTCCCTCCTCTTCTGGGGTCCCCCGCCAGCACCGTCTGCTCCTTCTCTTCTGAGTAGAGGATATGTAGAGGGCGCATCAATGGAGGAGCTGCGGACCGAGAGATGTCAGCCGGGGATGGAGGAGACACTGGACAACAGGCACTGGGCAGCACTTCTAGGAGTTGAAGCAAACTCTGTATATGGAAGAGAATTGAACGAGAGGGCGCTTCTAAGTGCAGTATATCCAGAAGAATCTTTAACCCCTTCACGCTGGCGCCTCCCGGCCCTTTTAGGGTTTCAGAAGGCGGGGCGGGGTTTAGGGTCATGTGACCACCATGACACGCCGTCACGGTGGTCACATGATTGGGAAAGGTCCAGATCGAAAGAGGAGATTGGGACCTTTCCGTGAGTACCGGACATGTGTGGTGGGAGCGGGCAGGGCGCGCGCTCTCAGCACATATGCTCTTTTTTAATAGAACGCAAATGTGCGGCCGCTCGGCGTCTAGGCCCAGACGCCGGGAGGCCGCACATTTGCGTTTGGCCGGTGTGAAGAGGTTAATAATGATGGTTAGAAACCGGAGAAAGCGAGGGGTGTTGCCACACAAAGACTAGCTCAGGAGCCCAGCCAGGGGCGTACTGACCATTTGGAAACTCGGGCACAGCCCGAGGGCCTGGGGTTTGTAGGAGCCCCCATGAGATGCCCCTGGTACCTTTTTCATAGGCTTTTTTTGAGTTTGGCCAAGGACACAGGGGCCCCATGATCCCCTATTGCCCGGGGGCCCCATGGGTTGCCAGTCCGCCCCTGAGCCCACCCACACATTAATATTATTATGAAGGATTTATATAGTGCCAAAAGTCCGCAGTGCTTTACAAAGCACCCCGCAGCACTCGGCTTCCTATGGGGCCACACTCAGAAGACAAGAGGATAGAACAGGATGGCGCTTCTAAGTGCAGTATATCCAGAAGGATCTTTAATAATCACGGTTAGAAACACTTAGGAGGAAGCGAGGGGTGTGGCCACACAATGCCCAGCTCAGGAGCCCACCCACACATTAACCTCTTCACGCCGGCCGCACACAAAAAAGCGGCCTCCCGGCATCTGGGCCTTGCACATTTCTGTGCAATTAAGAAAAACATGTGCTGAGAGCGAGCGCCCTGCGTGTTCCCAGCACACATGTCCAGTACTCACGAAAAGGTCCCGATCTCCTCTTTCGATCGGGACCTTTCCCGAATCATGTGACCGTTGTGACGGCGAATCACGTCGGTAACATGACCCTAAAGCTCCGGCTTCTGCAACCCTTAAAGGGCCAGGAGGCGCCTGCGCCAAGGGGTTAATATTATTATGCAGGATATATATAGTGCCAACAGTGCGCAGTGCTTTACATGGTGCCCCCGCAGCATTCGGTTTCCTATGGGGCCGCACTCAGAAGAGAAGAGGATAGAACAGGATGGCGCTTCTAAGTGCAGTATATCCAGAAGAATCTTTAATAATGACGGTTAGAAACACTTACAAATTCGTAGTTAAAACAGGCTCAATAAAATCATCAGCGTGCAGAGACTCAATCCACCACGCGAGAACCCGCTGCGGCCAGCAGCTGCAGGGGGAGCTGAGGATCAGATGTCCAAGATGGCCGCCGCAAGTCTTGAAGAAGGAGCTCACCGTTTCACGCCCGTTCCTAACCCACGTCACTTCCGGTTGCGGTCTTCTGGACAGTGTGCGTTCCAGCGATCCTGGAATTTGCGGCGGCCATCTTGGACATCTGATCCTCAGCTCCCCCTGCAGCTGCTGGCCGGCACAGCGGGTTCTCGCGTGGTGGATTGAGCCTCTGCACTCTGACGATTTTATTGAGCCTGTTTTAACTGCGAGTTTGTAAGTGTTTTTCTAACCGTCATTATTAAAGATTCTTCTGATATACTGCACTTCGAAGCGCCCTCCTGTTCTCTCCTCTTCTAAGTGCGGCCCCATAGGAAGCCGAGTGTTGCGGGGGCGCTTTGTAAAGCACTGCACACTGTTGGCACTATATAAATCTTGCATAATAATATTGATGTGTGGGTGGGCTTTGTGTGGCCACACCCCTCGCTTCCTTCTAAGTGTTTCTAACCGTCACTATTAAAGATCCTTCTGGATATACTGCACTTCAAAGCGCCCTCCTGTTCTCTCCTCTTCTGAGTGCGGCCCCATAGGAAACCGAGTGCTGCGGGGGCGCTTTGTAAAGCACTGCGCAAAACTGTTGGCACTATATAAAATCCTGCATAATAATATTGATGTGTGGGTGGGCTTTGTGTGGCCACACCCCTCGCTTCCTCCTAAGTGTTTCTAACCGTCACTATTAAAGATTCTTCTGGATATACTGCACTTAGAAGCGCCCTCCTGTTCTTTCCTCTTGTCTTCTGAGTGCGGCCCCATAGGAAACCGAGTGCTGCGGGGCGCTTTGTAAAGCACTGCGCAAACTGTTGGCCCAGTATAAATCCTGCATAATAATATTAATGTGTGGGTGGGCTTTGTGTGGCCACACCCCTCTTTCCTCCTTTTAAGTGTTTCTAACCGTCACTATTAAAGATTCTTCTGGATATACTGCACTTAGAGGCGCCCTCCTGGGCTTTGTGTGGCCACACCCCTCGCTTCCTCCTGGACTTGATTGAAACAGCAGGAGCCAATGGCTCCCGCTGCTCTCCGTCTGTCCTGTGAGAGTAGAGAGAGAGAGAGACCCGTACTGCTGCAGATGAGCACGGCGACTTGCATAGAAACCCTGCAAAGGAAAGGGTTAAAATCATAATTCCCTCCGCCATCTTAAAGCGCTAAAATGCCTCAGAAATCTCGGACGCTGCTGCAGTTTTCTCTCTCCGGCGATAACCGAATTGTGACATAGGGGCCGGAGGAAGGAATCACAGAGCACAGCGGCTTATCAGGTACACGACACTCCTGTCAGAAGCCACTGCAGTGCTTGAACATGGCAGAGAGGGGGTGCTGGAGGTGCAGGGGTTAATCCCTGTCTGTGCAAGAAAGCCTTTTTTTAAAAAAAAATATTTGTAACTATCGGCAAGAGCCGCTTTAAAATAAATATGTGTCCAGCGATCCGCTCTTCCTGGATTTATAACGACTGTAATGTAACTCTTCACGTCGGTATTATCGAACGTTACTGTCATTTATGCGTTTTGCTGGAGGAGTGCAGGAGAGGCCACGCCTCCTTTCTATTTTTATGTCGTTCTCGCCGTTATTAGTGAATCGTCCCGATCCCGCCGCAGCCCATTTATATCTCTGTGTTCTCTGGGTAGATCTTGTATCCTGAGTAACGCGGGTTATGTAATAGTTGTGTAACAGACGGATGGAGAGGCCCGCGTGTTCTGGGCACGGCGCCCGCATTCTCTGTACAGAACACAGTGTTCTCTCCATCCCGGAGTCCGCACACAGAGACCTTCAACACAGGACCACGGCAGCTGCACATTCGAATAGACAGCAAGGATTGTCTTTGGCTGCTGATTATAACATGCATATCCTGTGTACTCTTATGTCATTACGTGTGAAGTGCGCGCGGCGGGAGCTTTGGGGACGCATCCGTTCTTGCACTAGAATTTATTCAAGTGTGTGTACATATAATATATATATATATACACACAGTGGAGGAAATGCGTATTTGCTCCCCGGCTGATGTTGAATGTTCGCCCTTCACACAGAAATGATCGGTCTCTAACAATGTAATGTTCGCCCTTCACACAGAAATGATCGGTCTAACAATGGAATGTTCGCCCCTCACACAGAAATGATCGGTCTAACAATGGAATGTTCGCCCCTCACACAGAAATGATCGGTCTAACAATGTAATGTTCGCCCTTCACACAGAAATGATCGGTCTAACAATGGAATGTTCGCCCTTCACACAGAAATGATCGGTCTAACAATGGAATGTTCGCCCTTCACACAGAAATGATCGGTCTAACAATGGAATGTTCGCCCTTCACACAGAAATGATCGGTCTAACAATGGAATGTTCGCCCCTCACACAGAAATGATCGGTTCTAACAATGGAATGTTCGCCCCTCACACAGAAATGATCGGTCTAACAATGGAATGTTCGGTGTAACACTGAGAGACAGAATACAACAACAAATTCAGCAGAAATGCGTCTAACAAATGATGACGGATCTGCATGTTCATGAGGGAAAGAAGGATTTGATCCCCTTCACAAAACATGACTTAGTACTTGGTGGCCAATCCATTGTTGGCAATCACAGAGGTCAGACGTTTCCTGGAGTTGGCCCCCAGGTTCGCACACCTCTCAGGAGGGATTTTGGCCCACTCCTCTTGGCAGATCCTCTCCAAGTCATTAAGGTTTGGTGGCTGACGTTTGGCAACTCGAACTTTCAGCTCCCTCCACAGATTTTTAATCGGATGAAGGTGTGGAGACTGGCTAGGCCACTCCAGGACCTCAATGTGCTTCTTCTTGAGCCGCTCCTTTGTTGCCTTGGCCGTGTGTTTTGGGTCATTGTCATGCTGGAACACCCATCCACCACCCATTTTCAATGCCCTGGCTGAGGGAAGAAGGTTCTCACCCAAGATTTGAGGGTACATTGCCCCGTCCATCGTCTTTTTGATGCGGTGCAGTTGTCCTGTCCCCTTAGCAGAAAACACCCCCCAAAGCAGAATGTTTCCACCACCATGTTTCACAGTTGGGATGGTGTTCTTGGTCATAGGCAGCATTCCTCCTCCTCCAAACACGGCAAGTTGAGTTGATGCAAAGAGCTGGATTTTGGTCTCCTCTGACCACAACACTTCCCACCAGTCCTCCTCTGCATCATTCAGATGTTCAGTGGCAGACTTCAGATGGGCCTGGACATGGGCTTTCTTGAGCAGAGGGACCTTGTGGGCACTGCAGGATTTCAGTCCTTGTCGGCGTAGTGTGTTACTAATTGTTTTCTTGGTGACTGTGGTCCCAGCTGCCTGGAGATCATTGACAAGATCCTCACGTGTAGTTCTGGGATGATTCCTCACTGTTCTCATGATCATTGACACTCCACGAGGTGAGATCTTGCATGGTGCACCAGACCTAGGGAGACTGACACTTGTTTTGTGTTTCTTCCATTTGTGAATGATTGCACCAACTGTTGTCACCTTCTCACCAAGCTGCTTGGCCATAGTTTGGTAGCCCAGTCCAGCCTTGTGTAGGTCTACCCATCTTGTCCCTGACATCCTTGGACAGCTCTTTGGTCTTTGCCATGGTGGAGAGTTTGGAATCTGATGGTTTGATGGCTCCTGTGGACAGGTGTCTTTTATACAGGTAACAAAATGAGATTAGCAGCACTCCCTTTAAGAGACTGCTTCTAATCTCAGCTTGTTACCTATATGAGAGACACCTGGTAGCCAGAAATCCTGCTGAATGATAGGGGATCAAATCCTTCTTTTCCTCATGAACATGCAGATCAGTCATCATTTGTTAGACACATTTCTGCTGAATTTGCTGTTGTATTCTGTCTCTCAGTGTTACACCGAACATTCCATTGTTAGACCGATCATATTTCTGTGTGAGGGGCGAACATTCCATTGTTAGACCGATCATTTCTGTGTGAGGGGCGAACATTCCATTGTTAGTTAGAGACCGATCATTTCTGTGTGAGGGGCGAACATTCCATTGTTAGACCGATCATTTCTGTGTGAGGGCGAACATTCCATTGTTAGACCGATCATTTCTGTGTGAGGGGCGAACATTCCATTGTTAGACCGATCATTTCTGTGTGAGGGGCGAACATTCAGCATCAGCAGGGGAGCAAATACGCATTTCCTTCACCACACACAGACACACACACACTCTATAAACAAACAAAATCTTTTTTACTTTGTTATAAAACATATCCAATAAAAAAAAAATCTAATTTATTCATACATTTAGGGCAAAATGTATTCTGCTACTTGTTTTTGCTACTTGTTGTTATAAGTGTATGTTAATTGGTTTGTGTGAAAGTTATAGCGTCTACAAACTATGGGATATATACTGGAATTTACGCATCTATAGACGCTATACTGGTAATGGCAGCGATCAGCTGTTATAGGGGCTGTTATAGGGTGGCGGGCAATCTGGCGCTAAAGGACACTATCTGGGAGGGTCTGTAACGGACACTAGTGACAATAATACAGTGATCAGTGATAATACTGTACACTGTACTAATGACGCTGGCTGGCTGGGATGGGGGTTGACATCCAAGGGCAATCAAGGGGTTAACTGTGTGTCTAAAGCCCCATGCACACAGTAAGAAAATTGTACGCAAATTTTCGTGGGAGGACCGATCGTCTGATAATCTGATCGTTAGTACACAGCTTTCGAGAGCCAATCACGACGATTCATACGACAATATCCGAAGCATGAAAATTTTTACCAGATCATACGATTTTTTGTTTAATCAGTACAGTAGTCATCCAAAAATACAATACAAATATTCAATAAATGACATCAATTTTCAAAAATTCTTTTCTTTCATAAGTTTTTAGTTCCCTCTTCATTTTCGATATGAGACCAGCATGCAAAAAAAAAACGACAACGGGTGATCATTCGTCCGATATTCCTATCATGTGTATGGGGCTTAGCAATGTGCGCTGCTTTTTCCTATTGATCTTGCTGTTTATTCTCTCTGCTTTGCAGGCAGAAGAAACGGCCAGATCGCTGTTCCTATGCACACAGAGTTCTGTGTTTTTATAAGCACAGAACTCTGCCTGTGATTGATCAGCTGATTTCAGCAGCCGAAATCATTGGCTGAAATCTAATGTCAAACTTGTCCTGCTTCCAATCACAGCACGGGTCGGTTGGAGGCGCACGTAGGCCCAACCCAGAAGACAGGCGGTGTCGTTCAGGTGCGTTGCCTGGCCTGCCTATGCCGCTCGCATGCAGTAAATCTATGGAGAAAAGTGTATCTCTGGCCAAAACTGAAGCTGAAAAATGTTGTCAGTACTCCTCCTCCTCGTGCTTACACACCACACCGAGGGGAGCAGGGGAGGGGTGTGACTATATGATGGGAGCTGAGCGATCATTCACCTCTTCGGCTATATCCCCCGGTTCACATCTATGCGGCCATGCGGGCTGTGTTTTGCGCAGGCATGAGAGCCCATTCATTTGAATGGACTCCCGTGCCCCGCGACACGCAGGGAAGAACTCCCTGCACTCCTGAAAACTCCACCTCGTATGGTTGTGATTTCCAGTGCGGGTGGCGTGCCGTTAAAATCAATGCCCCCCCCCCCCCCCCGCGGGTCCGCATTCTTTTGTGCGGGTGGATTTTTGCGCCACCCGCACATATGTGAACCTACTCTAAGATACGTTAGTAAGGAGGAGGAGAGGCCACGCCCAGCTCCTAATTATTGTTTCCTTCTTCCACATGTGCCTGACTGGTAAAGGCATGGGGACCCCACACACCGTAAGTGTTTTCACACGGAAAAGGTTGTCGTCTTTTCGAAGTAGCCCTCCCTGTTCTGTTCATCCAGAAGATTTCTTGTATGATAACCGAATGATTCTTCCCCGCAGGTGAAAGACCGTTCAAATGTCCCTTTGAAGGCTGCGGAAGATCGTTCACTACCTCCAACATCCGTAAAGTTCACATCCGAACGCACACGGGCGAGCGGCCTTACTACTGCTCAGAACCGGGCTGCGGCAGAGCGTTCGCCAGCGCCACCAACTACAAGAACCACGTGCGGATACACACAGGTATCAGTGTTGGGTTTCTCTGTTTATAAGATAGGCCTCATATAGCTGCCAGATCTCCAAATCACAAGATTAAAGGTACTAAAGCCTCAACTTTTTTTTTTAATCAGAATTATATCACTCTTGACAAATGTATCACTAGACAATAAATCGTTTTCAAAAATGTCCAGAACACATTTTAGAACAGTTTATACTTGCAGCCTCCAGCTTCTGCAGGGAGTGCAAAACATCATCCAGCGTCTGATCCCCCTCCTCAGGGCTTCATGTCATATCATTTATAGAGCATTGTGCACTGCGATACCCTCAAGCTGCCTCTGCTTGCACCATAAAGCATGCATACCCCGTTATGGACAGAATACTCTGATTACCTCTGCTAGCACTATCATGCATGCATACCCGGTTATGGACAAAATACTCTGATTACCTCTGCTAGCGCTATCATGCATGCATACTTGGTTATGGACAAATACTCTGATTACCTCTGCTAGCCATCATCATGCATACCCCATTATGGACAACATACTCTGATTACCTCTGATAGCACTGTCATGCATGCATACCCCGTTATTACCAACACAATACTCTGATTACCTCTGCTAGCACTATCATGCATACATACTTGGTTTACGGACAGAATACTCTGATTACCTCTGCTAGCACTATCATGCATACATACCCCGTTGTGACAGAATACTCAGATTTCCTCTGCTAGCACTCTCATGCATGCATACCCCATTACCAACAGAATACTCAGATTACCTCTGCTAGCACTATCATGCATACATACCCTGTTGTGGACAGAATACTCAGATTTCCTCTGCTAGCACCATCATGCATGCATACCCCGTTGTGGACAGAATACTCAGATTTCCTCTGTTAGCACTATCACACAAGGATGTCCCATCTGTGCTTGCTGGGCACATTTTAATTGCACATAGCCTCAACCACATACACTATACAGCTCTGCGTTTCCATCAATGCGGTGAGACCTTTTGCGCTATGAAAAAAAAAAAAAAAAAGGCCGACAATTTTGAGAAAAAATTTTTTTTGACTTTTTGCTATTAACATGTCCAGTAAAAAAATTTAAAAAAATCACATTTCGGCATAAATTTAGGCCAAAATGTATTTTATATTATATAAAATGTGTGTGTGGTGATATATTTGTGTTGTGGTTTGTTTTTATTTGTTTGTGCGGTTGTTTATCTATATTTTTTTTTTTTTTACGAAATTGTTTTTTTTTTCTTTTGATATTTTTTTCCTGAAAATCTATGTATTTTTAAAAAAGGTTTTGCATTAATTTTTCCATTTTTGCTATACACATTTTTCATTCTTTTTTTCCGTATGTATTGGAACAAATTAAAAACCTAGTTTTTTAAGCAAAATATTTGACATAATGTTTCACACAAAACCCCAAAAATGGGCTGGACTATAGTTTTTACCCTTAAACTTATGTTTTGGTTTTTACACCCCCTTTTGGAAAACATAACTGTTTTCAGTCGCTTCCCTAGAACCATCAATAAGCTTCTGACACCCATCTCACCTCCCACCCACACACTCCCGTTTATTTTTTGTGACCACTCTTTCCTTTTGCAAACAGCTTTTTTGTTTCTCTTTATTGGAAGGACAAAATCTGTGGTTTTTTCCCCACGCAACAGCAATTGTTTTTTAGTTTTCTCCACAGGTTTTGTATGGATTTAGATCTGGCTTTTTTTTTTCCACATTCAGAACTCTCCAGCGCTTCTTTGCCATCCATTTCTGATTGCTTTTTGAGGTATGTTTTTTTATCATTTGTCCTGCTGGAAGACCCAGTGTCTTTATTGTTGGTTTTGTGCAAACCCAGCTTTTTTTTTGTTGACACTGGGCCCTACAGTGCTGACCCACAAATCCTTTTGTGAAGTTTTTTTTTTTTTTTTGTTTCTTCATGATTTTTTGCACATTTTTTTTTTGTTTTTTTTCAGTGCCAGATTTAGCAAAAGCATTTTTTCTTTTTTTATCATTGTTTTCCACCATATTTTACCGTAGGTTATGTGTTTTTTTTTTTTTTGTAGGCCTCATTCCCGTTTTCGTTAATCAGTAGAATGATGTTCATTACCGAAATAGCTCTGTCTTGTAAATCTCATCTGTTTTTTTTTAAGACTTTTCCCAGAAGGCTTTTGGCTTACTCAAGTACATTTTGGCAAACTGTAGTTTTGCTTTTTTATTGTCTCTGTGTCAGTTGTAGTGGGGTCCTCCTGGGTCCTCCTTTGCCATACGCCGTTTCATTTCATTTAAATGTCGACGGATAGTTCCGCGCTGACAACCACTGATTTCTATTTGTAGCCTGTTCCTTATCTTGTTTGAATTCTTGAGTGAAACATTTTTGTTGTGCTATGCTTATCCCCACCATTGTATCATGGACTTTTTGTTTTGCAATCTTTTTGTCAAATTTTCTTTCATTCGTTTACGGACCAGATGTTGATTAGCTTACAGTTGCCATGGGTTTTTTTTGTTTTTGTTTGTGTGTTTTGTTTTCGATATTGTTTCAAATTTTTTCTCTTGGTTTTGGATTTAGTTTACTTTGTAACCTTGTTATTGTTTGTGAATTTTTTGCCACATTTTTTCTATTTTTTTATTTCTTTTTTTCCTTATACCAGTTTATATTTGTTTCCTCTTTTTTTTGTCTTATCCTTAGTGTTGTCACAGACACAGACACACATTTTGAAGGTTAAGATGAACGTTCACATTGTTTATTATGTTTTTCTAGGTTGATTTTTATGTTGCCTCAATACCTGTTTCTTTTTTGCCTCAGTTTGCTTTTTTTTGTTTTGAGCAGATCATTTTTTTTTTAACATTATCTTATTTATTCCGCAGTTGTGAATTAGGGTTTATGAGTGTTATTACTTTTGTCCCGCCCCATTTTTGGAGGTTAGGTTGACATTTCCATTGTGGTGAATTTTGCTTTCGTTGTTTCCCTTTTCTTTTGTGTTTTTGTTTTTTGTCCAATACACACAAAGGGAATAAACATGTGTATTGCAAAACATGTTTATTTTGCATATTTTTGTTGTTATTTTTACATGGGATTTCCAGTGAGAAATATCAAGGGTGCCAACAATTTATTTATTTGACTGTCATGTATATGTGTAAAATGTAGTTTGCTATGTTTATTAGTGTTGTGTTCATAATATTTCGCTTGTTATTGTTGTTTTGTTCATTTCGCTAGATATATATTTTGTATTCTAATATGTTCCCATTTGGTTGTGGTTTATATAGTTTGATGTGTTTTGCTTTAATTTTTATTTATATATTGTTTGTTATCTATATATGTATATATTAAAGATGTGTTTGTGTTTTTGTTTGTATGAGTATTTGTTTGTTATTGTGTGTTTTGTTGTGTGTGTGGTGTTATATGTTGTGGTAATGTATTATTTTGTGTGTTATATGTTGTTGTTTGTATATATATAAATAAGTGTTGTGTTGGGGTGTGTGGATTATAATTATTATTATGTATTTATGGGTTTTTGGGTGTGTGTTGTGTAATACATTACAGTGCACTCACGTGGTTTCACACGCACTCCAAAACCGTACAACTGGCAACCATTGCGGAAAGAACCTAACAAACAGATCTCCACGCTGGCCATGCACAAGAAGACGGCACATTTATGTATGACGAGGCGGGAGCACATTAGTGGAGTGAACAGGAAGAGCTTCGTCATTAAGACCTTCAAGCCATAGTTAAGTGTCCAAGACTGGCAAGCCAATAGTTTGCAATCGTCCCTCAAGGTCTGGTGGTGTGCATGGAATATGGTGTATTGATCATGCGCCGTGTGTTGGGGGTATATGTGAAGAGTGAGGACCAGAAGACTGCACACTTGCCTAGCTAGCAGTCACAATCGGGGGGATTGGAGGGTGCTAGGGGGGTTGTGATGGTGGGGGCGAGGCCGACTGGTCATACAGTATACATGACACATGTTACACCTTGAATATGGGGTATAACATGTTTATAAAGAAAGGTGAACCTAATCCTTTAAAAACCCTTTTTGCTGCTGGTTCTGAATATGTCTTACGGACCCGACAGCGCGGGGGTGTTTGGTGGGTTGTTCAACACTAATCTGGTATTGATTTAGTATTAGATACAACTCTCGACTTTGTACCCCCATCTCTCAAAGAAGACATACCCTCTAAGAACATATTATAAAAAATCCTTCACACAACAAAGAATAAACTAAATCCCCCCCTCTAAAGAGAAAAAAAGATCTCCCATTGCTCCCTCTCCCCCCCCCTTACTCCTTTCTCCCTCTTCTCTCCCCCCCTCTCCCTTCTCCCTCTCCTCCCCACCCCCCCCCTCCCTTTCCAATAAGTAAAAGAGAGAATTGAGAATAGAAAGTAGAAAGAGGAAAAAAAATATAAAATTGAGAAATATTGAAAAAATATTAATAAAATTATATAAAGATTAAAAAAATAATAAAGTTGATAAATATTAAAAAATAGATATACATTCCCCTAAAAAAAGAAAGATCCCCTTAAAGATCTCTCCCTTTTCTCCCTCTCATCATTGCTTTGCAACTTCTCCCCCCCACGCCCCACCACATCGATCCTCCTGTCCGCCACTGCTCTAAAGGTCCCTTCTTCCCCCCTAAAAATTGCTGCCCTAGGCAAACGCCTTGTAGATACGGCCCTTATATTTGAGGGTTTTGTGTAATCTTCCAGGCCAAAAATGATTTTATTTACACGTGTGCAAAAAAAAAAGAAATTGCAAAAACGGCTCTGGCAGTGAAAGAGTTAAAGAGACCCTGTCACCTGCACATTCAGGTAAGAATAATAGAACCCATTCCATTCAGCAGGGTAAGCCTACCAATCCAATAACAGTGTCCACTCCCGTCCGCAAGGTAAACCCACCAATCCGCACGGCCTGCCCAATGCAGACGTCCATACTGGGTAAGCTCCGGTGTCAGATGGTAAATGATTTCTCTGCCAGCTCCTATATTACAATGTTTGGATATTCCACCATAGTTGATCCTGATTTCTTCAGCCTTTGAAAAAAAAATGGCGGATT